AATTCATTTGGTGAAATGCCTCCCCAGACAGATCTTAGCAGCTTCACCTTTCACAAATGGGGCTGACCCCCCCATTAGGTGCAGTAAGGTGCGAGAACCAGCAGGCCGAGAAGGGGAGCTAGACCTGTCTCGGAGTCCCAGGCTTCTGAAGGCTGCTTTACAGAGACACAAAGCCTTACACGGATTTGGGAACAGCTGAGGACAGGAGGAGAGGGGCCAGGATGGAGTCACATGTCGGCACACCCGCAGGGGTACCCCTGTGCCCAGAAGGAAGCTCTGCCACCTCACTCCGGATGAGCCAAGCAGCACCCTCCGCGTGGAACTCCCGCTTTTCATTCAGACAGCTCTGTAGAGCTGAAAACCCTTTGCTCTGATGGATGAAAATCAGCTTTGGAATGGGAAAGTACTTGGAATCACTGGGGAATGAATATAATCTCCAAAACACATTTACTGCTCACATTCAAATGAAGATGAAATGATTCCTTTAATACTCATCAACTCTATTAAACTTCATAGAAGCAAAACCTTTTGAAATAAATTAGCCAGATACTTGCTGGAAACAACAGGTTTTTGAGGCTGCGTTCTCTTCCACTGATACCCATCTTCCTGGCAGCCCAGCCAATGGACATGATAAAGAGGAGGATGGGGTGACGGGGAGGCCAACTCGCACATGCACAGGGCATGGCCCATGGGCCTGGCACGGGTATGAAGCGTTGTGAAGTTACCATGCCATTTAATTGCCCTAACGACTCTGGAAAGTAGCTATTACTACTATGGCCAATAGACAGGGAAGATAGTGGAGGGTCAGACCAAGAAGAAAGTAGGTTGGAATCTCAAAAAACCCTGTCCCACTCTCCTTTTGGAATCTACGCCCAAGCGAAGCGTGGCCATCAGCACCACATATCATGCAATTACAGCTCAATAATCAACCATTTGGGTTCTGGAGTCTGAGCATGTGATTCAAATCCTGTCTCTGCTGCGTTATAGTTGGGGATGCTCAGGGAGATGATCTGGTTTCACTGAGCCTTGGTTTCCTCATCTGTTAAATTGAGATGATAATGGTCACACGCAGAGAACAGCACCGGATATGCCATAAGCAATCAAAATCGATGTAACCGGAAGCAGACAACTGTCTTAGGTCGGCTGCCCCAGCAGGAGACCCCAAGAAAAAGATGTGGGTACAAGGAATTCACTCGGGAAATATACCAGGAAAATATCCCAGGAAACAGAATGGAGAAGTGTGCCAGGGGATGGAAGGATGCTAACAAAGGGTGCATGAATGATCAGGCTGACATCGCAGACCACTGGGACTCCATCTTGTCAGGCACCTCTGGGAGAGACTGTAGGGCTAAACACCTCAGAATGATTCTACTAAAGGAATGAGGCAGCTGGTGTGTTCACCCTGCAGCTCCCCTATCAGTGGCTGAGCAGTGGTCCCAAGGGCATTAACCCCTTTGCCCTTCTGGCCTGCCCATGATCCCGTGTGGAAATTCTATCAGGTGGCGAGTTTTGGTTGGGCACAAAATGACATTGTTGGCAAGGACTGTAATGGGAAGCACTGAAGGAATCTGGGCAGGGGAGTGACAACATCTGTTAAAATAACTCTGAAGGCTGCCCCCCTAGTGGGGCCTTGGGGTGCTAGGGGCCCAGAACCAGAAAACACCCACATCCAAGGGGCTTCCCGACAAGCAGCTTCCACATTCAACAATGGCTCCGTGTGAGGACAGATTTCTTTTTGCTATAGACAGCATTTGCAAGACTATGGTGTGTGTGGTGAATGGGGGTACCTCTGGAGCAACAGTCACAATGACAGAGGTCACCCCATCTTATTTGTGACCCAGCACCCTCAGTCACTGGCAGTCCCTCTCCTGGCCCAGATAAGAGGTGCCCTGCCCTGGACCCTGTGCTTTACAGGATCCCGCTCTGGCCTTTCTCATGGGGTGGGGAGTTCTGAGGGGCAAGGAAATATACCTAAGGCTTACACAGGGCCTTCTCCCTGAGGATGGATGACCACTGATGTGTCCCCCTAACCGTCCAAAGTGGCCAAGGAATGGGTATTTCCAAAGTGAGGTGATGGAGCTTGGACTTGGAGCATCATGGGACCTTCGTAATGTGGGCTGGAACCAGGGGTGAGAAGAGAAGGACAGTGGTCTGAGGGCCAGAGGACCCCTCTTCCCTGCCACCACATTCCAGTGAACATCTCTGAGTCCAAAGACCCTAAAAGCAATGCTGAATTTCCAGATTGGTATGAAGTTATATATGTCAAGGTAGGAGAATGGATGTATTTCACTTAACAATGTATAAGCTTCATTATACTTTGTAAATAGTCAGACATAGGGTCTGCAGGCCTCCATTGGTAGGTGTGCTCTGAGTTTTTGCACATGTTAAGGATGGGCTTGGGCCTGGGGATGGTGCTTCTGAGTCTCACCAAAGAGCCCCTGAGTCCAATCCACCTTAGTCTTGAGGAATCTGCCCCAAAGTGATCATTAAGTAGATGAGAATGGAATCTTCTATAAAGTTCCCCCCTCAATAAAAAAGCATCCAAAGTATGAATCAAAGGCTGCTCATTGTGGAGAAAGTGAGAATACACATGGGCATAAAGAAGGAAATAAAACACTCATAATTCCACTACTTTATAGGAATATAAAGTTGTCATTTGTTTGCTTGGTTTTATGAATGTTCTATAAGGTGCCTACAGAGTAACACAGCTAACTCTATCTGTATCTCCATGGTCTAAAACTTTCCAGAGAGAGAATGTTCCCAAGTTTTCATTCGGTGAGCAATGCGATTGCTGCAAAAATCACATAATATTATTAATACCACCATTAGTCTGGTGTCTTATTAGATTAGCCATAATCTAATCACATTGTGGAAAATCCTTCAAGAATATTAGCAAGAAATAATTTCTTTCTGTGGCTTCTTGAACAAAAGCAAGTCAATCATGACCCATCAAATTTATGTTGGCTAGAGCTTAGGAGGAAGAAAAGTGGAGGAAGACACCAACTGTTTAAGCCCTAATTCCAGAAAGACTGATGGCTTGTCATGGCCAGGGTGGGCAATGGAGGAGTGTGGAGTGGAAAGAAGGCAATGGGAATAGGCTGTATTCATTCTTTTCCAAATTCAGGAACACAGTCAGCATTTGTTAAGCACCTACTGTATGTGACACGGTGCTATGCCCTGAGGAGCTCACAGTATAGGGACAGGCACTTGCTATTTTTAGAGTCCAGCCTCCACTACTAGACACTAAGGGTAGGATAGGTGACCTCTTTTAAACCAATCAGAGACTTCTGTCCTCCAGACCACTGTGATTTGTGAGAGAGGGGCACATGATCGAAGCCAGGCCAATCAGCATCAAAAAGACTCCTGTCTCACATTTTTACTGTAGCTTCAGGGAAGAGAAGTTTCTGTCTCATCTTGGCTGGAGTTCTGAGGTTATTTAAATTCAAAGTTCAGGAGGAACAACATATAAATCCAGAGAACACAGGAGATCTGAGAACGAAGCTTACCCAGACAGATCCTGGAAAACTTGTCAGGCAACTGAATTCAGCTGCAAAGGAAGGTGAGTTTTTTTGGTGACACAAACCAATAAATCCTCATTTTTGGTTTAAGCAGGTTTTTTTTATTTTGTTTTGCTTTTGGATACTTGTAACCAAAACACGCTAACTGATACAAAAATGGGAGAGATCCTTAGGACATGACACAATCTGGCCTGTAACAAAGGGGTGGGTTATGGTGAGATGTTAGTGCTTGGGAGTGGGGGGAAGACTACCTCTTAGAATTCTTCCTCCTGTCTCTGGACCTGGGGAATTTCAGGGGAGTGGAACATTGAGCGAGGTATTGGTGGATGAATGGGAAGTGATCAAGGAGAAGAATGGACAGAGGGATTTTAAATATAATTTTTTGATTTTTTAAAAGATTTTTATTTATTTATGAGCGAGAGAGCGAGAGAGAGCACGCAAGTGGGGGGCAGGGGCAGATGGACAGGGAGCAGCAGACTCCCCACTTAGCAGAAAGCCCAATGCGGGACTCGATCCCACGACCCTGAGATCACGACCTGAGCAGAAGGCAGACACTTAACCGACTGAGCCACCCAGGCGCCTCAAATATAATTTATATTTTTTTAATGTAGGGCCTGGCAGACCTGGATGGTTTGGGTGCTCGTTTTGGAATTGAGATCCTTTTTTGAGCAAGACCCTTTCCTGATGTAAAACCCTGGACTTCCTGAAGAAAGAGCGGATCTCTGGTTTGTACTCTGAGACTGTTTCTGAAGCCTGTAAACCCAGAACTGGATCACTCATCACCAGAGTGGATCCTTTGTCCTTCACCTCCACCTGCTGGCCCTTCCCTTCTGGGGACTTGGGATCCAGGTGCAAGGTGTGTGGCCACTGGCTTCATTCAGGTCTTCTTGTTAGCAATTCGCTGCCTTCTTCTCTGGTCTTGTTGACAGTTTCAATAAAACCTATGCCACAGAGGCATTTTACTCAGGCTTTTAGCCACAGAAGGTTCAAATCAACCACTCTTTTATTCATACTTTCAGGGACTTTCCTTTTTTTGTAAATTTTATTTATTTATTTGACAGAGAGAGAGATCACGAGTAGGTGGGGGGTGGGGGGGGTAAGCAGAGAGCCCGATGTGGGGCTCAATCCCAGGACCCTGAGATCATGACCTGAGCCTAAGGCAGAGGCTTTAACCCACTGAGCCACCCAGGCGCCCCCAGGGACATTCGTTTCTGGAATCCGAGCTCTTGCCTCCTCCTTACAGATTACCTGCATTCTCTTTGCTCAGACTCTTTAAAAGATAGCCCAAGCCCAGCTATTTCTTTCTGATTTTATCTATTAAGACTTATGGAGAGGCAGGCAACCAATGGGTCCCAAGTTCCAGGATGCTGCAGGGTCCCCCATTAGACACTCAGAACTTTCTGCACTTTCCTCATGAGTCCGTTTAACAATTTGTCAGCTCCCCTCTGGGGAAGTTCACAGGAGACCGGGTTGGGGGGGAGTGGTGTGACTGTGCAGGCATCTCACAACTCTGATCACTTTGCATAATTCACAAGTTCATGGAAGCATGGCGTGTTAGTACTGCAAAGTCTGAGACCGTCTCATCTAAGCCTCTGGAAAACACGAGGGACTGATGCTCGGGAAGGGGGAGGCATTAGCCATCTCAAACCTAAAAAGAAAGAAAGAAAAGAAAGAAGAGAAGGAAAATGGGGGGGGGGAAGGAAACAGCAACTGTGATATCCTAATGGCCTGCATTCCACATTTTTTTGTTCAGTATTTTGTGATGGATTCAAGTGCATGCAATGAGCTACTTTAGCAATTCTGTGCTAGTGCCAGCCTCTCTCTCTCTCAATCTCTCTCTCTCAGACCCTTCACCAATGATCTTCCTATAGCCAGTGCAACAAGCTCTATTAGAGCACACAAAGCTCAGACTTGGATCCTTATAGTGAACGAAGTCTGGTGACTTCCTCCTTCCCCACTACTCCACTACTACACACACACACACACACACACACACACACACACATACATATACTACATATATGTCCACTGTTAAAAACAGGAGCTAGGAAGTGTTTTCTGGGTAAAAAAGAACCTTGGGGTACAGACCCATGGATATATCTGATACTTATCTAGAAGGTCGCTGATAGAAACGTGATCTCATGGAAGAAACAGAGCCACTGGGAGGGAGATCCCCATAAGGAAAGAAGCGAGGACTGTTCAACAACTGTACCTACCTCTTTGAGGCAAAGGGTGGTTTCTGGATAAAACATGATGACGAACAGTGGTAAGACCCTGCCACCCTGTGGATGTGAGTGCCCCCCACCCCCTGCCCTGGACCGCTGAAACAATAACACTCAGCTCTAGAGCCCTCTGTGGGACCCTCACCCTAACTGGTTGTGGCACTCATTACTTTGCAAGACCTATGACGTGGCGTTTCTGCTTATCATCTCAAGGCTCAGTGGGGTCCCAGCATCCCCGGCACCTACATAGCCTCTTGGACATAGGCCGGGGGATGGGGGTGGCATGGAGTGACGCTGCTCTGAAATTGGGAGTGGGGGACGACAAAGTTAGGGACATCTGGCTTGGCTTAAAAACAGACCACATTTTCGCTTTTGTTTCCTTCTGCACAGCAAAGGAAACAGTCAACAAAACAAAGAGGCAACCCATGGAATGGGAGAAGATATTCGTAAATGACAGTACAGACAAAGGGCTGATATCCAGGATCTATAAAGAACTTCTCAAACTCAATTCACACAAAACAGATAATCATGTCAAAAAATGGGCAGAAGACATGAGCAGACACTTCTCCAAAGAAGACATACAAATGGCTAACAGACACATGAAAAAATTTTCATCATCATTAGCCATCAGGGAGATTCAAATCAAAACCACATTGAGATACCACCTCACACCAGTTAGAATGGCCAAAATCAACAGGACAGGAGACAATAAGTGTTGGAGAGATGTGGAGAAAGGGGAACTCTCTTACACTGTTGGTGGGAATGCAAGTTGGTGCAGCCACTTTGGAAAACAGTGTGGAGATTCCGTAAGAAATTAAAAATAGAGCTACCCTAGACCCTGCAATTGCACTACTGGGTATTTACCCCAAAGATACAGATGTAGTGAAAAGAAGGACCATCTGTACCCCAGTGTTCATAGCAGCAATGACCACAGTCGCCAAACTGCGGAAAGAACCAAGATGCCCTTCAGTGAACGAATGGATAAAGAAGATATGGTCCAGGAGCGCCTGGGTGGCTCAGTAGGTTAAGCCTTTGGCTCAGGTCATGATCTCAGGGTCCTGGAATCAAGCCCCACATCAGGCTCTCTGCTCAGTGGGGAGCCTGCTTCCCCTTTTTTCTCTGCCTGCCTCTCTGCCTACTTGTGATCTCTGTCTGTCAAATAAATAAATAAAATCTTAAAAAAAAAAAGAAGATATTGGTCCATATATATAATGGAGTATTATGCCTCCATCAGAAAGGATGAATACCCAACTTTTGTATCAACATGGACAGGACTGGAAGAGATTATGCTGAGTGAAATAAGTCAAGCAGAGAGATTCAATTATCATATGGTTTCACTTACTTGTGGAGCATAACGAATAACACGGAGGACATTGGGAGTTGAAGAGGCGACGTGAGTTGGGGGAAATCGGAGGGGGAGATGAACCATGAGAGACTGTGGACTCTGAGAAACAAACTGAGGGTTTTGGAGGGGAGGGGAGTAGGGGGTTGGGTGAGCCTGGTGGTGGGTATTATGGAGGGCACATATGGCATGGAGCACTGGGTGTGGTGCATAAACAATGAATTCTGGAACACTGAAAAGAAATTTAAAAAAATAAATAAAAATAAAAAAAAAAACCCAGACCACATGTTTTGTCTCTAATCCTCTCAGAATAAATAAGCAATTGAATGTATAAATAACAGAGCCTAAGTAACTAAGTTGACTTTCTCTGCAAAACGTTGTTACACCTACCTTGTGTCCCCAGGCTTCTTTAGGAATGTGAATTGCTGTTAGTAGTCTTTATGGCTCTGAAGTGTAGCATAGAATACACAAGATAAGGACTCCAAAGATAGGGTCTGAATATCAGCATTGTTATTAATTAACCACATGACCTTGGGTTAGTCACTAATCCCAGAAATTCTCAGCAGAAGTGTCTCCAGCATTGGAGGGTATTATTATCACCGGGAGGTGTGCCTCTGGTAATTAGCTTTCAATAATAGCCAAGTCCTGAGACTTGAAAGCAACTTAAAGTATATAAATTAGAGTGAATCCAAAGTAATGCCAATAATTCCATCATTCTGATTTACCTGCATTATTATGTGTTTCTTCAAAGGAGAGAGAAAGTGTTGGGGAAATTATAACCAGCATATCATGGGAACTGGGCATTCCATTGCCGGTTGAACTGATAAGGGGGTATGCAGAGGAGCTTGAAGCCACGTGACAGATAACGGCCATCTGACGTTAACTGATAGTATCTAAAACATCTTTTATATATGAAGATAAAAACACCAATGCCGGGGCGCCTGGGTGGCTGAGTGGGTTAAGCCTCTGCCTTCGGCTCAGGTCATGATCCCAGAGTCCTGGGATCGAGCCTGGCATCGGGCTCTCTGCTCGGCAGGCTCCCTGCCGAGCAGAGAGCCTGCTTCCCCCTCTCTTTCTCTGCCTGCCTCTCTGCCTACTTGTGATCTCTGTCAAATAAATAAATAAAATCTTAAAAAAAAAAACACCAATGCCTTCCGAAAGAGAGAAAGTGAAATGTGCATGAAATTTCAAGAGTGCTCATAGACGTGGGGCTGCTTGGGGCTATGGACCCCAAGTTATATGTTCTTTGTCCTTGGCCAATATGGGTCTTGAGGTGGAAATTTCGTGAAACTCTTAAGCCATGTCTCTGCCAAACCAGACAGTTACCACTCCATCAGTAGGAGTTAGTTATAATGATTATAGAAGTTGTGGTACCCGTGAGTTGTGATTCGACAGTTACTTCCATTTCTTTTGAAATTTCACCCCCCACGATAAATTTTTAATAACAAAACTGCAAGGACAGGCAAGAGAAGAAAAAGAAGGGCTTGGGTTTTTATATTGCACATGATTGAAAGGGTCTTAGGAACATTTTTGTCTATGATACAACAGTCACCTTCCAAATAAAAGGCAGACAGAGTGAGAACACAAGAGAAATTATAAATGTTCTTCATGTTTATAATAAGATGTTGTCTCTATAAATTCTACCTTTTGTGATATTCAACAATAAAATAAGAATTATTTATATTTTCCTTTTCAATTTGCATGCTTACTGCTTTATTACATTTATCTATGGAATGGGAGTCTGGAAAAATTCAAGATTCATTTTTTCAAAAATAAGTTCCCTTCAGGAAAATTTGATTGAGCACATTTTTTTTCCTTGTGCAGACCTCGAAGGCACAAAATAAGATTCATCATAATCCTTAGTTCAAGCTATGCTCTGCCAGATTTTATTTGCTGAAGATGGCTGGAGCGGTCACTCCCTCTCACATGTTCAGGAACAATGTGACCTCGACACTCCTCCCATAGAGTGGGGAGCTGTCTGTCCTCTCCCCCTTGAAACTAGGCAGGACCTGTGACTCACTCGTGACCATAGCTTAGGCTAGGTCTTCTTCTGCCTTGCTTGCTGGAACACTCAAGCCGGAACCTCGAGCTGCCACGCGGTAAGGAACCTCAAACTAGCCCATGGGGTGAGACCACATGGGGAAGTCCCAAGATTACAGACTGAGAGAGAGAGAGACCTCAACTGCACCAGCCCCCACCACTATCTGATTGCAAACACATGAGAGATCCCAAGCCAGAATCACCCTAGAAACAGTGAAAGATAATTGCTGTTGTATCAAACTACTAAGTTTGGGGGTAATTTGTCCAATAACAACTTTAATGGTGCATACACTATTGTCACTGATCCATGAATGGTTCCATGGCTTACTTGGGGGAGTCAAAATAATATAGTACTTATATGAGCCCTGACTGGCCATCTCTCTAGAGTTTTTCTTGCTAAAATCTGGTATTTTTAAACATTGATTTCACTATTCATGTATTTGCAAAATTTTTGTGAATGCAATGCCCATTTCTGCCTCCCTTGCCAAAAATGTTTATAGTACTATTTATTTACCCTTGAAATATGAGTTTCTTCTAAACTTGGCTATGACCTTGACAGCGCATCATGCATGGGAACTCTGCTCGTCCTTGCACCCCCGTAGCTAAAAGATTAGAAATTCCTGACTCAATCTCTAGGAAGCTTCAGTTTCCCACATGTAAGATGGCGGATCAGTCCTCACCCTGCCTGTCTCGTGGGGTTGCTGTGAACACCTATTTAGAAAATGCTGAAGAAAGGATTTATAAGTAGTAAGGATTTGTTATCATAAAGCTGTATCTTTTTTCCACTTTCATGATGTATCTTTCATCATCCTGTCTCCCGGCTCATCTGAAAAGCACAGGCTTCAACCTCTTTCCCACTGTGTGAACTTGAAAAGTTTCTCTGCAAATGACCCATTGTCTATGTGGCAGGCGTTTGTACGTTTCTTAAGGGCAGTGACCAGGTCTTCTGTTCCTTTGATTTCCTTCACATTAGGGATGTAGTAATGCTTTGGGTTTAATAATTATTTTCCCCGCCCACGTGTCCCGAACTCTGGCCTGGCATTC